GGTCACAATTATCATAAGAGAAAGGAAAATATAACTCCCTCCCATCTCCTCCAGACACACCAGACCTAGCTAGGTTTCACCCTGAACCTCATTATCATACACACAACATGAAGGTACAGAAATAACTGCAGCAGTGCAACCTCAGCTTAAACCTCTTCTAAAAATCCTCTTTTTTTTTTTTTTACCCTAGGAAGAAGACACAGCTTCAGCCTGTCCATACGGGTAATGGAGAATCCATCTGTGCCAGGAGCTTAACAGACTCGAGATCAGGCATGCCCATACCGACACGGGGATTTTGGAGGCATGAAGCAAAGCTGCCCAGTGTGGCATCTAACCCTGCACTGCGCTGGCTGAGCTCCCTTCCCCATCGATACCAAAACTGATAAACAGCCCTAAGCTAAACCACATGGCCTCACTTCTTGTGTAACTATGCAAAATGTTAAATATATTAATACAGGTCAGCAACAACTACCTCCCCCCCAGAGCTGGAGACTTTTTGGAAGAGGGTGAGGGAGGGGCATTCTCAAGTTTGCCTCTAAATCAAACAGAGAACTCGTTAATGCAAATGAAATCACTAAGTGGGACCTCTCTCTATCGTAACTTCCTCAACAGAGCAGCTCTGCTTGATTTCACTCGCTAACGCCAGTTTTAAAAGCCCTGAAGGCAGCAGAAGCTCTGAAGAGGCGGCCGGGCGGGAACGGCGGCGGAAGGGGCAGAGAACGCCTCCGCCTCTTCCCGGGGAGTGGTAGCGGGAGGGGGCCATCCCGCCCACCAGTTGGCGGGAGACTTAAAGTGGGCTGGAACAGCCGGGAACGCTGAGTGCTCCCGCCTGGTGCAGCTATGTCCACCCCGGCCAAGCGACACTGCCACAGCACCACCGGCTCCCTCGACTCCAGCTTCCAGAAGCGCCTCAAGAAGATTTCTATCGAGGGTAACATCGGTGAGCACAGAGACGGGGAGGGGGAAGAACCAGCGCTTGTGGCCGTTGGGACCGCAGGACGGGCCACCCTGAGGTGGCGTGGGCAGTGGCGGAGGCGCTGTGGGCCCTATTCCACCCACCTATACAGGAAGGCGGGGGGGTCCTGTTGATCCGAGACCGGCTCCCGGCGCCATGGCCGGGGTACGGGAGCGTCCGTTCCAGCGAGAGGGAAGCGCTGGCGTTAACGGCCGTTGGGTGTGCTCCGAGGCGGTAACCTCCGGGCACACAAAGGCCCCCCCGGGGACCGAGCGCGGCGCCCCACCTCAGTACTGCGCCACACGCGCCGCGCATGCGCGGAGCCGTTCTCCCGCCGCTGCTCGGCGATGGCGCGCACCGAGCCCCGCCCCGGCTCCTAAGATGGCGGCGCAAGGCCCCACCATGGCCTTTATCGGCTGCCTGGCCCCGCTGCGGCCTCCTGGCGACGGCGATTACAGCCGTTTTCTCGGAACGTGCACCCGCAGCACGGTGCAGGCAAATCAAACATCCCCTCCCCTGCCCCGGGCGCCGTGCAGCTCCACACCAGAAACACCATGGCCGCATTACCTGCGGCCTCCTTCACAAACCTCACGACTGCCCGTCTAACACCAGTCTAACCTGCACCCCCAGTGAGCTTTTCCCATCTTCTGCAGCTGCAGGGAAGTCAACGTTTGTCAAGCTACTAGAGAACCACAGTGATGAGTGGGAGATCATCCCTGAACCCATTGCCAAGTGGTGCAACATCCAGACAGCTGAAGAGGAGCATGAGGTAGGTGTGCTGCTCTGGGGAGCTTGGGCAGAGAGATGGATCACACACTGCAGTGAACAGCCAGGGAGCCATACCAGAATTTAGCTATCCAGTCATCCCCACTATCATACACCAACTGGCCAGACAGACTGTAAAGGAAGATACTACTGAATCCAATTCCAAATAACCCCTACTCAAGGCAAAAGAATAAAATCCTGTAAATATGTTGGTATTAAATTTTCTCTTGTCCCCCAGGAACTTTCAACATCTCAGAAGAGTGGAGGGAATCTACTCCAAATGCTCTACGACAAACCCACACGATGGGCTTACACATTCCAGACTTATGCCTGCCTGAGCCGAGTGAGAGCACAGTTAAAACCTGTCTCAGCCAAACTTCAGGAAGCAGAACACCCAGTGCAGTTCTTTGAGAGATCTGTGTACAGTGACAGGTAATTACTCTCACAATGCACAAGGGTTTATATTAACAGCTCCAGGTCTTTATGACAAAGATCTGGAGCTGGGAAAACACTCAATATTAAACTATAATCTGCAAGGAGCAGGTTTGATTCAACAGTGGGAGGTGGATGGGACTCAGAGTACTTCATGAATGACAGAGTAGGCAGCTGCATGCATTTAAGTATCACTATTCTGATTCAGTCAATTTTAGTAGTTCCCTTTGGTCATTCCTGGCCTGAGACTAATGTCCTTCTTTGCAGATACGTATTTGCTTCTAACCTGTTTGAGTCTGGAAACATTAATGAAACAGAGTGGGCTATTTATCAGGACTGGCACTCATGGCTTTTGAATCAGTTTGAATCAGATATAGAACTGGATGGCATGATCTACCTAAGAACCACACCTGAGGTAGGTTCACTAAAGATGAAATAATAAGAACTAGATGTTTAGCTGAAGTGGCTCAAGTTAAAATAACTTTTTAAAAGGCAACCAAAACTAATTTTAGATGTAACTTATGTTCAGCCAAGCATTTAAATCAATTGTAACATCTAACATTACTCTTTCCAATTTAAGGACCATTTAATCTGTTCAGTTGATTTAATTTTTAACACGATTAGTATTTGGTCTTACACTTTTTTCCTCCCCCCAGAAATGCATGGAAAGGCTACAATTGAGAGGAAGAGAGGAGGAGCAAGGAATTGAACTTGAGTATTTGGAAAACCTCCACTATAAACATGAAACCTGGCTTCATGAAAGGACTATGAGGTATGAATCCATTTTCTATAGGCAAGTTTCAATTTACAGGCAAGGCTCTTACCTGTTTTGTGCTGAAGCTGATTAGGGATAAAACTAAATTTAGACCCATTCCAGGTTTTTTGCCACAGAGATACTGGTTCTAGGTTCCATGCAGAGGGAAAGTTATCTTGGCAAGAAAGTAAAAATTGCCAAGAGATGGAACTTCATCTGCTTTAAAGCCTAGTTAAGCATTAGCTTCAACTCCAGCAAGGATATGCTTTTTGTTAACTGGAAGTACACAGGAATAGAACAGAGCTGAAGGGGTGTTCAGTCACTGTTCACCTAAGTTACCCACTTAGCAGGTTCTCATTCCAATGTAAGGGAGGGCAAGGTCCCAGCTAGCTTTCAACTAGAGTATATTTCAACAAGGGTTAAATATTAATCCTAGCTTCAAAATAAACAATGAGCAGAAAGGCTTTTGGCAGGCACTAAGCAAGACAATCAGCAACTAAGTCATCTCAATATACTTTCCCACCCCAGCTGCCTTACTCTTACTAGTTTCCCCAGCCCAGGCCTCTCGAAATAGGAAGCAGATTATACTTCTCCCTTGAGAAGCCTGGAATGCTCTACTGAATGGGAAGCATAACAATTCCAGGAAATGTTATCAGTCACATCTACTTTCCTAAGCTTAATGTAGGACGACCCAGACGCTTAAGAGACAAGAAGGCACTGCATATTGTGGAATTCTGGGACCATTTACCTTGTATATTCATTTCAAGCTCATGAGCAAGCATTTCCTACATTTTTCAGGAACATTTAAGTCTGTAAAACACAAGTTACAATAGAATGGTGGTTCTGCACACATACTGCATTTTAGAAATGCTTTTCACACCTACAAAGAGAGAGTAACTACTGCTTTAAGGGAACAACCATCCAGTTGCACAACTACTGCTCCCATCTGCTTGTAGCCAGAATAGTCTTATCTCCCAGCCATTTTAAATACCAGTCTTAGAACTTGTTTAAGAGGTCCTCCCCACAAAAGGAAACTTTAAAACTGCATCTTAGTAAATGGATTAGGAGTTAGTTAACTAGACTGGGAGAAACACAGGGCAATATTAGCTTTTAAAATGCTCTTCCCAAAATCATAATGCTGATAATTGATTCCATAGCAAAAAGAATGGAGCAAATGAAGTTAAGGTAAAAAGCTTAAACCATCTCTTCTACCCTACTTGTACAATAAAAATAGATATTAAAAGGCCAGATTTATGAACTACATTAGTTAGAGTAATACAATGCTGACTGGGTTGTATAAGAGCAATTAAGGACAGGCTTATACTTAAGTCCTGGGATCCAGTACATGTGGTAATCTGAGTAATGCTGCACCCTTAGGATGACTTGGAAAGCAACCAAAGAGCTAGATTGCTTTATACACACTGCTTTATACCATTTACTAGCATTACGTTTCTCATTTAACAGAGTTGACTTTGAGAACCTTAAGGAGATTCCCATTCTAGTTTTGGATGTTAATGAAGATTTTAAGAATGACAAGATTAAACAGGAGTACCTGATCGATAAGGTGAGCATTAAATAATGTTTCCTCCTATCTGCTTTTCATCTGCAGTAGTAGCTTCAGGTTATCAAATTACATTTTTGAATTGCATGAAGTGCTTGTCTGGGGCTAGTATGGTCAGTCTCCTTCACAGGCTTAGAAAGTTACATGGCTGCAGAAAAGGCTTTTCGCTTTTCTTCATGAGGAATTGTGAGGATAAGGAGGTGGCATTAAAACAACTCAAGGGAAAATTGTTTTTAAAAGAGGAGCAGTTGCAAGGGATGCAAGTACACAGCAGCTGGCTTAGTCAGACTACCCCCTGCCAAGTCTGTGCTGCCACACTGTTCATTAAGTAGTTCACAGAATGATACTGTCCAAGTTCTGTCAGCCATGATGTCCTCAGAGAATCCTGCAGTCAGCTTAGAGCTGACTCAAAGGATCTATGGTCTTCCTGGACTGAGCGCAATACATCTGACTCACACAGATAACTAAACCTTTTACATACTTCTCAATGCCTTAAGTGACATTTCTAAGAAGAGCTGGGAGGGAGGGTCAACAGCCATTTGAGGGAACAAGGTGATAATAATTACATCACTTGACTCAAAATGGTGTTTGTTAGGTAAGACTTAGGAACTAAGTGCCTAAAGGAGTGCTCCTGCTAGAGGCATGTGCTGTGTAGTACCTAGACCACACCAGATCAAACCCCAGCCTCCCAATATTTAAAGGCATGGGGCTCATCTCCAGTCTTCCAAGGAGAGCTGCAATATTAGTTATTATCCCGGGACACATTACCTTTTCTTTACCACTGCCCCAACAAGACTGTTCTTGTAAGATGGACAGAAGTACCTTACTCCCAAACTGTACAAACCATTTTCTCCATCTTGTTGTGTGTCATCCATTTGAGATTACTGAAGAATGACTCCTTCAAGTCAAGCCTAATTCCTCCAATTAAGTATTTCTATATAAACTGGAAAGGGGAGCACAAGATCCAGTTGTGGAGGTATTTGTTGTTACATTATATCCTCATGGACACTACCAACTAACAGCTTACAATTATGAGCCAGACTACATACACTCATTACATGCTTACTCCCCTCACATGCAGTATATGAAAGGTCAGCTCCACTCTCAGTTTGGGGCAGGGGTACTGTACCATGCTTAAAGTTCTGCCAGGTAGTTGGTTTAGTTTTCAGACAATCCCTCTCTTCATAGGCAAGAACTACCTAATGAAGTAAAACTCATTTTTCTTTAATGAGGTAACATTCCATAAAGCATTCCGGAACCTGCCTTTCAGACGTACCTGTTATTTTAGAATAATTAAAGTCAATTCTACCTAGACAAATCTCAGGCTGTCACATGCTATACTGAAAAACATTTCACATCATGAATTACACAGAGAGAGGCAGAACAGCACTAGGGACTGTTGCAGACCATTTGTTTGCTAAGAACAAATTGGGAAAAGCCTAGTGACTTTTCTAATGCAGCAAATATATCTGCTTTCTGTTTTCACAGGTCAAGTCTTTCCTGACTTCTTAGGATGATGAAAATTAATTTGAATGTCAAGTTCTTGAAGGTTAAGAGTTACACTTATCAATCAGCATGTTGATTTAAACTGAATGCATCACATGTATAGCTTATTTTAAGGCAAGATCGAAATGCAAAGGATGGTTTGGTTGGGATTTTTGCTAGTCTTACCTGTGCAGGTTTTGACATAATTTTCTGTCTAGTTAAACAAATATGGAATGCTTTGATAATATATTTTATGTCTACTCTTTGCTGTTTATAATAAATTAATACCGACTGAAAACTGGCTTCAATAACAGAGGAGTTAAGCTGTTGCCAGCGGCTGACACAGCAGCACACAGGCAAGAGGCACTGAGGCAGAGTTGTTTTGCAATAACTGGCATAGTTCACCATTTTAAGACGAGACTGTTATGGCGTCCACAAAGCTTTACTTTCAACTTCTGCTTTATTGAAGGGCTCTTTTCACAGCACTTGCACTACTTAGTGATGGACGCTACTGTAGTCGCAAGGGTTACACCTGTAACGAGCTGCAGTTCACACATCTCTCGTTTACCACCACCCCCCGAATAAACAAATTTCCCCCCCTCCATTTTCCTCTCACTCCCCGCCCCGTGACAGCAGGGAGCAGGCGGGGAAGGACCCGCCGGCGCTTGCACCGGAGGCGGCAGCGGGACAACGACCCCGCAACCGCCCTCCCCTCCCCCGCCCGAGCGCAGCCGCCGCCCCAAGGCCCCGCCGAGCTCCGCGGCCGCCACGACGCACGCGGCGGGGGGAGGGGAACGGTTGGGCGCACGCGGCCGGGCCAGACTAGGCCGAACCTCCCCCCTTATCCCCCACCTCCCGCCAGGGTCGCGCCGGTGGCGCTGTGCGCGGCCTCCCCCCGCCGCCAGCAGGCGCCAAGGAGGGGCTCGACGGCGCCGGGGCCCCGGATCGGATGGAACCGGCCGCCCCACCCCCATCCGCCCCACCTTCCGCTTTCCCCTCGCCACAGCCACCCCCCCACCCCACCTCCCCCCCAGCCGGGCCTTACCCAAGCCGGGGATCTCGCCCTCGGTCTCCTCAGTGTGACAGGGGTCCATCTTGGCCGCGCCTTTCCCCACAGGGGCCGCGAGAAGACAAAGCTCGGTGGGGGCGCTCGGGAGCTGCGCAAACGGAAACAAAAGCTCAGCGGCCGCCGAAGGGACGCTCCAGCGAGCCCGGATCGAGGCGTTTCGGCTGCTTCTTCCCTGCGCTCACGGGGATGCGGCACGATGAACCCGCGGCCTTCCCCCGGCCCAACCCGCCTGCTCGCTCCTGCGCACCGGCCCCTCCGAGCCTATAAATAGCCAGCGGGCGCGCTGCGCGGCGCGCTGACGTCACGCAGCGCCCGCCCCTGCCCCTGGCAGCCAATGGCAGCGTGACAAATTGAACCAGCCAGTCACGTCCGGCGCTCTTGCGCGCAGAGGGCGATGCGTAAGGGAAAGGGAGGGGGGGGGAGCGGCCGCCCCGGGGGGTGTCTCGTAACGGCTGCGGCGGGGATTGGCGACACGGCCTCCCCCAGTGTCCCTCGGTAACCCCGGTGCCCGCGGCCCGGTCCGGCGGGACAGGCGCGACCCCTCTGCTCGGGGACCCGCCTTCGGGTGTTTCGCTACCCAAACCGCAAACATGGCGGCGGCTTTGTCCCTCCCGCCTGCCCCGCCGCGCCGATCGCTCCCCACCACCACCACCCCCCGCCCCTCACCAGCTCCCGGCTCACGGCAGGCTGCGGCCCCGGCGCTCCGGCGACCAGCGGGGATCGGCGGCTCCGCGCACTGCAGCAACGCCCGCCGCCGTCAGGTGGGCCGGGCTCCGCCTCCCGCCGCGCCGGGGGAGCCGGGGGGAGTGGACACGCACGGGCACGGCGGGGCTCGGGCCCCCTCCCGAGAGGCTCTGCCCTGATCCTCGGGCCGCTCCGCTGGGGTGTAGGGTCACTGCCAGCCCCGGAGGCGGCGGGGGAAGGAAGGCGGCCTGCGGGAGGCCCTTGGGAAGGGGCTGCCTCGGAGTCCCCCGCAGTGCTGACAGTGAGGATGCGAACCGCAGCGGGCGAAAACCTGCTAAACCTTGACCCAAAGCGGCTGTCTGTGGGTTTATTCGGGCTCGGGCAGGTTTATTTGCAGGATCTCCGCCTGGGAATCACCGGGCAGGGTGGTTCGAATGGCCGGTGCACCCTGCAGTCCACTCACCCTGAGCCTAACCAGACCAATCCCCTCTTCAAAATGTTGCCACAAAGAATCATTAGCTAAAACAACTAGAGAAAAACTGTAAGAGAGCCAGTGCGATGGAACAGATAAGTGGTGACCTTCGGACTGCGGAGGTGTGGGGTCTGTTCACAGCTTCGTTTCTGAGTGGTTTGTGTAAAGCAAATCCCTTTGCTAATCCCTGTTGAAGCCTTTGCATTTCCAACAGTTAATTATAATTTTTGTTTTCTTCTAATGTATATTAGTAATCATACACCGAGGTATATCTACTCTGGGTCATTTTATTAGTCTGATTGGTCTTTTTAGTCCCCATTACTGCATTTGAATAATGATGGAAAATGGGTTCTCTGTTGTTTACGCACGAAGATCCACGTGATTCATGGCTTTGAAGTCGGCTGTACTGGCTGGTTTCTTGCTATCTAATGTTCTTATTTTTCTTATCTAAATAAAGCCTGGTTTGCCCAGTACTTTCTCAACCATATGTTGTGGTCAAACAGCATTCTGACATAAATTTTCTTTTTAGAGGCCTCTCAGGAAATGAAAATCATCCTGTGCTTACACTGGCATGAAGTTCTGCTGCAGGCATATTCTTCCAGTGTTAGAGGAAAGATCATATGACTTCTTTGCAAGTACGTAATTGCTACTAAGTGTAGGCAAAATACCTGCCTGCTCTGAAACTCAGCACAGCAACAGGATGTTGGGTACAGCCATGTCTTGGAGAAGAATGTGCCTGTGAACAGAAGCAAACAAAGACAGAAATAGTTACCAGAAGACTTATTATTAGCCAACATATAGGCAGTGCTTGAAAGATGAAAATAATTAGCAATTCAAGTGGAGTTACTGTTAACAGCATCAGCCCTTCTCCTGAGAGGCCATCTCTGGTTAGTGTTTTTGCAAGTAAAGGCAGTCACATGTGGTATGTGAACACTTGCAAAGTGTGAGATAGAGGATAAAAATGTTGCTGGAAGCGTCTAATGCAGGATTTTATTAGGTTTCTTGAGCAAGGAAATTACTGTGTAATTTACACATGTAAACTTCCAGGTCTTGCTTCCATGATTTCTTCTAGGACTCCGGCATCTTTAGTTTACCTGGCTTTTTTGTTTTATGGTGCCAACCTGACACGTCTACCTTCCTCTCCAGCAGACACAGCTGAGCTGTGGTGTGTCTGTCAGCATGTCTGTCAGCAACTCACGCTGCAGCTTCAAGTACTTTTTTTTTTCTCTGAAAGTGCTTTGTTCTACTTCAGAATTTCACTGGCCTGTTCCTGTGAAGGGGAGAAGAACACCTGCCATGGAGGCTGCTGGGGACAGGAGCTGCCCTCATGTTCCCACTTGCATTCCCAGAAGATAAATTTCACCTTGTTCAGCCCTGGGGACAGCTGTAACCTAAGCCAAGCTCAGCTTGCTGGGTTTTGTGTGGTCCATCTGGTAAAAAACGTGCAGAGCGGAGCCTTCCTGGGTAGAAATCTGCTGGAGAAATAATCTGCCACAGTCACACAGGCCTTGTGCAACATCCCCAGTTCCCTCAGACTTCATGGTGACTGGGGCTGGGAGCAGAGACCTGCATCAGGAGAGGATGAGCACCAGTCCACCCTGCAGAGAAATATGTAAAGCTGAGTACAGATGTGTTGTGGTTTAAGCCCAGCTGGTAACTCAGCACCACTCAGCCACTCGCCTCCAGGCAGGATGGGGAGGAGAATGAAAAGAATGTAAACCCCATGGGTTGAGATAAGAACAATAATGAAAGTATAATACAAAACTACTACTAATAATAATAATGATAAGGAAAATAATGAGGGGAGAGAATATAAAACTAAGTTTGGGTCAGGTGTCCTGTCTCTGCTTCTTCCCCGCTTCTTATGCCCCTCCTCACTGGCAGAGCATGAGACTGAAAAGCCCTTCATCAGAGTAAATGTTACCTAGCAACAACTAAGCCATTGGTGTGTTATCAGCATTGTTCTCAGACTAAAGCCAAAACACAGCACTGCACCAGCCTCTAGGAAGGAGAAAAATAACTGTCACAGCTGAACACAGAAAAACATGTATAGTGTTAAGCTGGACTGAAGTAAAGCTGTTCCTTGAAGCCTGCTCTCCTCCCTGCTCAGGACATTTCTCTTTGATACCAGTCATAAATCTCTATTTGTTTGCTTGCTTAAGTTCCTTTTCTGGAGGGCAAGAAAATCACAGTATCTACAGCTCTGGTTAAAGGGTTTTACAGGCATCTAATTGTACGAAGACGCTTTGGGTCTCTGGAAATTATGCAGATGCTGATTTCTGAGTAGGTTTTTGAGACATTATTGCAATGCAAAAAAATAATTACTAAAAATTCTCTTACGGGTCAGCATTTGCCATTTCAGGGAGAAGAGAACAGTGACCAGAGTTTAAATACTTGCTCTGAAAAGATGACAGAACTCATTATCCATCACCCTGACCCCATCGCTTTCTGCGCCTTCCCTTTCTCTCTTTCCTAAGTAGATGTTATCCATTTGTTCCTCTGCTTCTGTCATAAGCTTCATCCTTCATATCTCATCTCATCAGCTGCGTGTTACATGTTTCTCACGTTTGCATATAAGCATAATTCAGGGTCTTGCAGGTAATCTGCAAACCTGATTAACTCAACAAATACAGCTAGCAGCTGACTTGCTTTATCATCTGACATCTGAAAACAGGGAATGCAGGGAAGTCTTACACTACCAATGGTTTCTAAGTTTCTCTGTGAATGTGACTCCCAGTCAAAAGCCCTTGAATTCAATCATAACCTTTCTGTCACTCCCCATGGCTCTAGAAACAGCCTCTAGGTGTGATGGTGCAACAAATACAAGCTAAACAGCTACTAAATATGTATAATGTGTGTTCTACCATATTAGGTAACAGGGCCACCTTCGTCATCTTCTATGCTGCAAATTCCCAGCTTTGATAATGCACCCTCCCTCTTACTTTTGCTTTGGGTAATTTAAGAGTTCTTTTGGTGACACTTCACCTTTATTTCTTCATTTTCACTTTTTTGTCTCTTTATTCATTACTCCAAAAATGGCGGTCTGCAGCAATGACTAGGCAGAGCTTGTATTTCCCACATTTCCTAAGCTGTAGTTCATTAGGAACCAAGCCAGTGTGGAAGCCAGTCGGAGAGGTTGACGGACACTGCTCTAGTGAAAAAGCAGATACCCAAGTCCCTCTTTCTCTCTGAGACCGCTGTTGTACTGTTTGACTCTATCACCCTTCTCTTATACCACCAGCTTATCCACAGCATATGCTCACCATCGCTGTCACTATTATAACGGAAGATTGCCTCTCTTCAGCTCCCTTGGTGGTCACAGGGCTCCACTGGGATTTCCCCTGTCTGATGCTTTTCTGCTCATTAAGGTAACTCAGGCCTCTTACTGTTCTGGTTCTGCAACATTATCATCATGGCAGTTGGCAGAATGCCTTTGCTTTTTACCAACAGAGCTAGCTGCCTTGCTGTGAATGCAGTTACATCGGTAGAAGTGTCTTCTACCAGCTCATTTTAGGTATCTGCATGTTTCGGCTGACTCTGAGCTAGGTGGGCATGAGTCAGCTCTGATCCAGAAGCCATCTGGCTGTGCAGTGCTGTACTGAGCTCATCAGGCTGCTCTCAGAGAAGGTTTCTTTACTCAGGCAGAAGGTTTTCAGCTCTTTGGCAGTTCAGCCCTGTACCCACCAGGAGAGAGGTGGCCAAGTGTTCATTTGCATCCCTTGCAATAAGCCTTGTCTGCATTTCCTTATGTCCTCTCAGAAGGAGAATGAGCTGTAAAGCTGTGAATACTTCACAGTGGGGTGACTGAGTCCAGACTTGGGAGAGCTGCTGTGATATCTGTGGCAAAGCAGGTAACACAGTGCCTGAGCTCTTGTTATTCTGAGTCACCTGTGTTTGTGAAACGGTGCCTATTTTAGCCACTCACCAAGGGCAGGCTCAGGAGCAGTGACCACAGCAGCTCACTGTTTTTGTCCTTGCTGACATGATGATCCCAACTTCCACCCCTTGCAGGTAACATTGTTGTAGCTGTTTGGGGTCACCCAGCTTTCTCTTGTCAAGTCCTACAATGTCAAAGCTGAGGCATATGCTTAGGCACAGATCCTATTTGAGTGCTCCGAGTCTTCAACTGCTGACCCTACTTTTGCTCTTCCTACCTATTTTACCTTTAGCTCTTAGACTCTGGAAATCCCTGAGCACAGTCAGGCACAGCATCAGTGAGGGCTGGAGCTGGGCAAGCTCTTTCCTAAGCTACCACAGAAAATATGCAAGTTTT